TATCTTCTAGTTCATCGTTGCTTGTTGTTGTTGATGGGCTATGTTGATTGAAGAGCAATGGATTGTCTTGATTGAGATCTTGGACTGCAGAAACAAGAATTGTTGTTTCATACATATACCTGGAAGCAGGTTATATGATGTCACGATAATAGGCCAACACGAATACTTCTGTCCAAATTGTCCGAATGGTTGAAACCCATCTGTGCATAGACCGAGTCTAACATTTCTAGGGTCCTCGGCAAAAGATGGATAAAGATTGTCAAAATGAACCCATGCCTTTCCATCTGATGGATGCCGCATCACCCCTTCTTCTCTGTGGTGATTTTATGCCATCTCATTTCCTCAGCAGTAGTATTTGAGGCATAAAGCCTCTGTAGTCTAGGAGTAATCGGGAAATACTCCATCTTAGAAAGCGGGATCTGTTTATTTGATTGGTTGTTGACCTCGTACCTAGTAGTAGAGCAAAATTTGCACTCAGTTAGTTCATTGTTTGCTTTCCAATAAATCATGCACCCTTTTGGACAACAATCAATAGATTGATGGGTCATTCCTAATAGTGAGAGTTTCCTTTTTATTTTCTTGAAATTCTGGATGGGCCGATTCGAGATATGTGTTGGGAAAATCTGTTCACCAGTTGAGCAATTCTATCAGTGGCAGTCTCTGATAAATTCATCTCAGTCTTTAAGTTCAACAACTCAGTCATAGCACTCAACTCCGTCATTGGACACCCATCAAAACATGGTTGACCTGTCATAGCTAGCATTTCATACATGCTCTTTGTCATTGGACTAGGCTGCTCATCACCCACATGCATATCATCAGGCGTATCGATAGGAAATTCATTCCTAATAGCATCTTCAAACATCGACTTATATGGGTCATATGGAACTTCAGATGTGTTATCACGGGAAGAGCTAGCTTCATCCAAATAAACCAGCCCATTTGAATTATGGATCTCTCCGTGCGCTCCCCATACATAGTAGTCTTCAACAAATCCCTTTTCAAATAGATGTTGCCTAACAATATCCCAAGTCAACAATTTTCTGTTCTTGCATTTTCTACATGGACATGCAATAACGCCACTTGGATATAAGTTTACCGCCGCCTGAATAAACTCATTGACTCCTTTTATGAAGTCTTCATTTAGAAACCCTCCATTTGCGAGTCTTTCATACATCCAAGACCTATTATTGCTCATTTTGACATCTGAACATATATAACCATATGACATATTATTTCTTCACCTCACATAGTAAACTAAATTAATTTTACGAGTCTTCAGAACCTCACGTAGTAGATAACAACTTCAATTATTTATCTTTCGATTAATATAAAAATAAATAATAACCAACAATGTTTAATTTTATTATATATAGTACTTAATTTTCTTTGAAATTTCCCTACAAATTAAAAAACCAACAACAAAAACACGTACAAGTACATATTATAATATTAATTAAACATGGAGTCATTAGCATTTTTGCATCTACATCGACCAAGCACACATACGTTCATTTTTCTTCACAAATTAAAAAACCAACAACAAAAACACGTACAAGTACATATTATAATATTAATTAATTCCTAATTCTACTTTACAACTTACAAATGAGAACTAAAATACAATTACAACTAAAATCACACAAATGTTTACAAACTTAAATAAAACGATAAACAATGCACATCAATCAAACATAAAAATATACATTTATGCACTACTAATTAGTGCATATCAAATACCCCCACACTTAAACCTTTACTCGTCTCGAGTAAATCAAATCCGGTCCAAAAAGTCTTTAAAATGACAAGAATATCAACACACACATCCACGAGTGTTTTTAGAAACACATAAGAATATCCCCAAAAATATAACAATAAAGAGGGTCTTCAACTCCATATTTCTTTATCAACCTCAACCTTTTTTTTTGTTACCCTTAGGATCCTGCAGAAATAAAAGAAAATACTTTCTCTCGTTCTCTCATTTTCCCTAGGTGCCCTTTCGGGTTTTCATCACAGCTTCCCACATTTTTCTGTTTTAATCCTCACAACTCACTCTTATTTTTGCTTTATTTTTTCTTAAGTTGCCCTTTCAGGTTTTCAACTTAACAAGCTTTTATAATATTTTTTTTATTTTTTTATTTTTTACAAGAATAAAGAGTATGAATGTGAGTATCCCATAAAACTCTCCCCCAAGCTAATTAAAGCACTGTCCCTAGTGCTTGTGTCTGAGATGATGATTTTTTTCCTTTTTGGTTAGTTTTTGGGAGGTTTTGTTGGTGATTCGTGGGTGTGGAGATGAAAAGGGTAAAGATGTGATGAATGAAATGGGTTTAATTGGTGGATGGATGTAGGAGATATGAAGCTTTTTACTTTTGGACATGGAGGAAATTTGGGGTGTGGTTTGAATGGGAAGAATCATCCTTGTGCTTTTTATTTCCAGACACATCTGAGGGACATCTGGGTTCATTCATCAGCTCCCAAGCCATTATTGTAGAATCATCCTTGTATGCAGTTCCAGTCACTACAAGAATTTGCGGATTTTAGTGACGAAAACTTTGTCAAAGAATCTGTCACTAACATAGGTAATGACGCTTATTACTGACGAAACTTTTCCCATTGAAATCGCGCTGCTAAATTCCTCAGCGACGAAATTTTATTTCTGTCACAAATGGAAGACGGAAGTTAGCGACCACACATTCTGCCACTAATATTAGTGACAAATATTTCGTCATTAAATACCGCCAGAAAATAGTTAAATTTAAAAACAAATAAAGAAATACTTTGCTCCATTTTAATATTTTTATGCCATTAATATTTCGTCATTAAATACCGCCAGAAAATAGTTAATTTTACGAGTTTTCAGAACCTCACGTAGTAGATAACAACTTCAATTATTTATCTTTCGATTAATATAAAAATAAATAATAACCAACAATGTTTAATTTTATTATATATAGTACTTAATTTTCTTTGAAATTTCCCTACAAATTAAAAAACCAACAACAAAAACACGTACAAGTACATATTATAATATTAATTTAACATGGAGTCATTAGCATTTTTGCATCTACATCGACCAAGCACACATACGTTCATTTTTCTTCATAAACTAATCATTTTTCCCCATCAAATGTAGGAAACTATATATATTTGGATGTTATAGAAAAATATACACTATAATATAGCAGCACTAATACATATAATCCACGCCTCCTTCTCCTTTCAAGGCTTCTTGAAGAACAAAAATGTCTCACTTTAGTTCACATTTCACCTCATCATATATAAATTAATCATCTAATAATAGAAGAGGCTCATAAATTAAAGAATGTAATAATAAGTCTAATTTACTTAACTAGTAATAAGCTCAAAATAAAGACATATAAACTACAATTTAATTAAGAAAAGATAAATTTTTTACCTCTAATTTCGTATGGACATGGCAGAATAGATTTGGTAGAGAAAGAAAGTGTGGTAGATGAGATATGTGTGCAAAATGATTTTGGCCGGTGAGCAGAATTTAATATATCTCATTTAGTGACAGAATTTAGTGGCGGACTAATTCCACCAATATTCCGTGACAAGATTTTCAGCCACAAAAATCTGCCGGAAATTACTATCTAATATCGATCCGTAACTAACGTCTGTCACTAAAGTGAGACGAAAAAGGTTCGTCACGCATTAGTGGCGCATGTTTATTTGTCTTTAGTTTGCGTCATAAATTCCTGTCGGATGGTATTCCGTCACTAACTTCCGTCACAATTTTCCAGAATTCTTGTAGTGAGTAATGGTGTTCTTCCTCGTAAGCACAGTCTGTTTAAGATAAGAGTAAATCCCGAAAAGTAATTAAGCATTATTATTCATACCATATGTGCAGATTTCAAATTTAATACGCACCATAATTTCCATTTTTTTTGCTCCAAAATTTGATGTTGAACTTATATTTTATTTGGGAAATTATTCTTAATAGGGCCAAAAAACGTTTGTATATTTCAAAATAGAATTATCATGTTTTTAATTCCTTGAACTGGAGAAATTACTGTCATATTTTGACAGCATCAGATTTTAAACATGATAGTATTTTCCACTTGACAATAATTACTTTTATTTTAATTTAAGAAATAAAAACATGACAATCATATTTTAGAATTCCCAAACTTTTTACTCTTATTTCGGGAATTTCCCCATTATATTTTAGTGTGCCAAGTGCCAATAAAAACATGAGAATCATGTTTTATTGTAAAAACCTTCGACTGTATACAGAGCTACTGAAGAAATCATCTTCCAAAAAAAACATAAAAAGTGTGATAATGATTATGATTAAAATAGTTATTAATAATTACCTTAATGTGATTCTTGTAATATTCTTTGACTACTGAATTAGTGAAGAAATCATCATCGATAGTATGTGTTATTATAACCATAGTAATATTGGGAAATACTTTGTACATTTTTGGAATAATTAACAGTCAGAAATTAATTATTGGAGGAAGGGAGTATAAGTTTTTCTTTATGTTATTACTAAAATATATGGAGTTTTTAAATATAATTGTTCTATAATTTTTCGATTAAGGCTTAGGGAGTGTTTGCGATTACTTCTAATTCAAAAAAGTTATTTTTAAAAGTGATTTTGGAAAAAGTACTTAATAGTAAAAGTTGGTAGTGTTTGAGAAAAAATAATTTTGAAAAAGTAAAAGTTTGTAGTGTTTGATAACATAAGTATTTTTTATGTAATAGAAAAAATGAAAAGCAGTTTGAACTACTTTTAACTTTTAAGTGATTAATATTGTATAAATAAAAGCTTAAAAACAATTTTTTCATTTTTTTTAGCCAAAAGCGAAAAACACTTTTTTAAAGCCGTAAGCTAGTAACCGCAGTATTACAGTATTACTCGGTGGTACAGTAATAATGTTCATTAGAAATTTAATACTCCGGTACGTAGTAGTCCTTTACAGTTATGTGATAGATTGATAGATCTCAACTTTCAGTTTTCAACATTTCAGCTCAGACCAAAATAAAGCAGTAATCTTCTCCTTTACTCCTTTTCAAAAGCCAGCAAAAATAAACAGTAATAAATGGCTGGTAAGGTAAGTTTTACAAGAGACATTAGAGACACTTCTATTACAGGCCGTATAATAATACAGTATCTATATACTGTAAAAACAACAGGGGTTTATAGGCCGGAGGATCTCGAACGTTAATTAACAGTACGTGTTACAATCTAAGCACAAACAAAAGATTTATGACCCTTTTGCACGCCCCCCTTTTCTCCATGCATTTTCCTATAGACGCAAAAAAACAACAACAGATAGTAGTAAACCAAAAGGCAAAGGTACAGACAGGTAAGTCAGTCACATCACATGTACAAAGAATGGACTTTCCTACTGTCAATCCAAGAAAGGATCTTTCTCCCATGCTTATTACTTTGCATGGTTGAAGCATTCATTCTGATTAGATCCATAAGCGCAACTGACCAATGCCCCTGCATTTATAGTTTTATACCACATAGAACCATAAGTAACAATGTTATTAGGGGCCTGTTTGGTAAGTGTTATTCGGTTTGCCTAGTAGAAATTTGTTCAAACATAACACATTTGCTTATGCTGTTTCTGTCCCTGTTTAAAAAGTTCATGTTTGACATTTATGATTCTCAATAATCATCTTTGACCATTGCTGTTTACATTTTTGTATGTGTACAAGTTCTAATGAGAATTAAAAAAAGTATGCTAAAACAAGAGTTGGTGACTTGACGTTGGAATTCGAAATAGTTCACATAATTTTAATGGTTCAAAGTTAATAGACGTGTTTGGAATTTAGCGGATAGCAGATTATGTTAACAGGTTGTCAATAGTGAATTCAATCAGCGGGTTTGATAGCTGTTTGGTAGGTTGTCAGAAGATGTTTGGTAATTTAGCTGTTTGGCCATAAAATTAGTAGAAAATGTCATATTTTAAAATGCTAATCCAAAACTCTCTTATTCGCAACGTTTCCATTTCAACGTTTTCGCCAAAAAACTCCAATGCCGAACAACTATTTATCGAACAACTTTTTCACTTATTGAAAACGTTAAAAGTGGTCAAACCGCCATCTTTTTTGCTAAAAGGACATTTACCAAACACCCCAACAAGGTAAAACTTACTTTAAATGATGCCTAATGATCACCATGTTGTTCAAGTACAAGCCAAGCTAGAGGTGGGTTAGAAAGAAAGAGAAAACTTACGGTTGCGACATTGAGTGCTTTCTGGATGACATAGTTAGCAAAAGGATCCACGAGAAGCCTAGGGGCCATTGGGCTTTTGATCAATTCCCTTAGAACTTTAGCAGAGTTTTCTCCATATTTGAGAAAGAACTTCTCAACCACATTGCTGGAGTATTTGTTACAGCAAAGGGGTGCAAACCTCCCTTCAAGAACTCTGAAAAGTGAATCTTCAACTTTGGGTATGTTCTGCTCTAAAAGATGCTGGACCACATAGTTGCTGGATGGGAGTAGATAGTACATAAAGAGTTAAAGATCACGTGTTTATGAATACTATAAGAGTGTTCGGGCCAAGAAGTTAGATGCTAACCCATAGGGATCTTCTGAAAGCATGGCAGCATTCGCTAAAATCTCAAATACCAGACGGTTTCTGGCTTCTCCACGAGCATTCTCCACGCATAATTGCAGCATTCGGCACCCTCTAATGTGGGTTGCCACTTGGAAGCATTTTTCAGTAATTTCCTTGATTATGCCCTACAAATTTGGTTGTTAAAAGGAAAAAAAAGATGGTCATTTTGCTTGTCACCAGTCACACACCATTAGAACTAAGTCATAAAAATATAAAATAAACTGAATTTATGAGGTAATTTGTTGTGCACATAAGAGTTACTTTCAGGAGAACAATAAGGTTGCATATTCAAAGTAAACATTCGAAGTACACATTTTTTTGGATTGATTTTGGTCCTAAACCAGATTAGATACGTAGATAGATTAGGCTTGATTCAACTTAAACAGATCTAACGAGACAACCACAAACTTAAATTATCTAGATCATACTTGACTTGAACTAGACAATAAAAAATACACAAAATACAATGTCTTATAAGACTAGTGACGGAATTGTTGAGTGTTAAATGACCTTTAATGAACCTGAACGTTGGACATAAATGACCAGAATGTCTTACATTAATATGTTGAGAAACCGTCCGTTTAAAGAAGCACTAAATGAGAAGAACGTTGGGCATTTAAAGTTGTAACGTTTCAGAACCCCTCTGGTGCGCGACCAAAACAGAACTGCCTCTGGTGGGCGACCAGAACAGAACCGCTTCTGTTACGACCATAAGAGAAGGGCTCTTCTGGTGCGACAATGGCCCCCGGGCTTCTCATGGATCCTTTTGCTAATTATGTCATCCAGAAGGCACTCAATGTCGCAACCGTAAGATTTTTCTTTCATTCTAGGTAGTATTTAACTAAACAAGAAGGATTGCAACCTGTATTTTAACACAAATTTCCGGGTAGTCCAAATTTGCAGAGAAACTAAATCTCCACTGCAATAAAGAGAAAGAGAAGGATCTCAATTCCAAATAATATATCTACATGTAAATAACCCTTTCTTGTTAACAAAGGAAAGAAAAAAGAAATGTAAAGAATTTAACCAGAGTTTTTAATGACCAAAGGTAACATGACCAGATCAGACCAGACCAGACTTCAAAATTGAAAAACTTTGTATGCCTAAATAACAACTTAATGGTTGATTTTTTGGGGCACACATCAAAGGGATGAACATGAGTGGATTGTTATCTCGAAGAACCTTAGCTAGATAGGTTAAAATAAAGGCAAGTTTCGGATCCCGTTCTGAGTTTGAATCTTGCTCCAATTTTAGAAAATTTCAAATTTAAAGTGAGAAAATGACAATCAGACTCGATCTGACTTAATTTGACCAATCCAGAGTGACGTGAATCTAATGCCGCTATACTAACTCCTCCACTCCTGCCATTAGATGAACACATAATAATTACTATATCCATCTTACAAAGATTGTCTCATTGTTTTACGCGGTCTCACTATTCAATTTTTCTACTTTGACTATATTTGTATGCTTCTAACATTCTTACTTTATTCTTTTTTATCAATTCAATATTACTTACATAAACTTGCGTTTCTTAGTAATGGCACCACCTCTTAGTGTAACAAAGTTAGTGAGATGGAGGTAGCAATGTTCTAAAAGGCGCTAGGCGCTAGTCGAGCGCCAGCCCAGCGCCTAGCGCCTAGGCAGCTAGGCGGACGCCTAGTCGGGGACTAGTCGATGACATATAAATTGTATTTTTATCTATATTTTGTATTTTTGTGTGTATAAAATACATATATGCATATACATTAACAAACATGAATGATAGAATTATCACATTTAATCATATATACTCCCTCCGTCCAATTTTACTTAGCCAAACTTGACCATCTAACTTTGACCGATTATATGTTTATATAGAGAAAGTATTAATAATATGAAAATGGTCATTGTTAAAAATACTATCATAAAAGTATAAAATTATTAAGCTTTGCATAAATATACTTCCTCCGTTCTTAAATAAATGCAACGGTCAACATTTCACACTTGTCGAGACACAACTTTGACCATTAATATAAAATTAAAATGAGACAAGTTTAACAATATTTTTTTAATAAAATAATATTATTACATTAATAAATAAAACGTAGTCAAAGTAGAACATGTGAATAGTGTAAAAGTCAAAGTGTTGCATTTATTTAAGAACGGAGGTAGTATTAGTTTAAATAATTTGTCAAAGATTACCACCTTTGACTGGAAAAGTCAAAGATGGGTAAATAAATTGAGACAGAGGAAGTAGTATATAATAACTAATCAATTAACTTCGTTATGTTATAAATATAAATAATGATAAAACTTAGGTATATATAAAAACATATATAGGGTTTATCTTAATTTACAACTTCATTTCTTTATATCCATGACTAAAGTTAAAGTATGTATAACGCTTAAAAAATTAAAATTAAAAAGTCAAGTAATGTTTAGTGAATCTAGACGATCTAGGCGGACGATTAGGCGCTCTAGGCAGACAACTAGACGCTATGGGCGGCTGATTAATTCACCTAGATAGTTAACCAATTACTCGGAACGCCTATATGAAAATCGATGCGCTCGACCACCGCCTAACGCATAGGCGGAGACTAGTCGAACGCCTAAAGCTATTTTTAGAAGGAGGTAGTAATTACTATACCTAGGAAAACATCCACTCATATTGTAGGTAGAGAAAGGTACACTAGAATTCTTTCCTAGATATCGGGCAACATTTTCCGACCTTTCATGCATTCCGTTACTTCCACTTCTTTTTACCTCATCCGAAAGGGGTGTGCTATCCTTAGAAAGACTAAGGGCCTATTTACAAAGTGAGATATATTCTGCATTTTCAGAAAATTAAAAAATTGGAAAAACGAAAACAGAAAACATGTTTATCGACGATCCGGCAGTTCGGTCCCCATTTTTTTAAATCATTTTTTCTATGTGAAAAGTTTCAGAAGAGTCATAGAGTTGCTAATCAATATGGAAAAAGTAAAAGAATTAGTCGAACTAGTCGTTGGTACTGATCAGGACCGGCCAATCTCGGTCCCAACTAACCTATACCCGCGACCGGGTACCATGCTTGGATTGTACCAGATTCAGTTCCGGACCGGGATTGTACTTGCGGTCTTCCGGCCAGTTCCAGAACCAGGTGGAAAATTTTGATAAACATGTTTTCAGATTTGAAAATGGAAAACTGGAAAATGAAAACAGAGAATTGTATATAGAAAAACTCTAAAATTAAAACAAAAAAAATATGAAAAATATCTCTTTTAATAAACACAGACATGAAAAGGTTTTTTATTTATTTAATTAAATACAATATAACACATTGTCTCAACTAAAAAATCATGTGTAAATACCGCAATTTAAAACAACTTTTCTCAAGATGACATTAGTTTGGATTACAACAATCTCAATGTGTTGTGGGTCCCCACAACACCCGTGTTAGGCACATCAACAATTAGTCACATTCTTTTGTGAGTCAACATATCATTGACCTGGTCAGCGAAAAAGTAAAACAAAATTTGTAGACATAGAAGGAGAGGAACAACATATATACCTCGTTGAATTCGAATGAGAAGTTAGTGAGGCAATAAGAAATGACAAGGTGGCCATATGTGTCGCAGGCCAACCTCACAGCGCCCTGACGTAAAGCATTCATCACTAAGGATCTTTCTTGTGTTGAACTCATCTCTTCCAACATCTTCTGCATAGCCCGAGTCCTTCATGCACATTAAATACAATTTTAGTTTAACCAAATCTATACATAATTTTCACATTGCGGACCCAACACCTGCTTTGGCCAGAATATTACGATTACCGTTGATAAACTACAAAAAACAACGAGATTGACATAGATTTTTTTGTCGGGATTCACTGAAATACACAAAGGATTTGGCACGTGTATGCTAAATCCGTGCTGTCCAGTTTTGTTACGAACTGTTTGGCATAAATCTTTGTTAAAACCGTGTGAATTCAGATATTTTTTAAATTTACCTCAAATCAACAAACACAAATTCAATTTTTATTTTTTATTTTTTGTGAATAAAAATTAATTGGCACCACATTGCTGGTCGGCAAAGTAATTTAAGACCATACCCAATGGAATTGAGGCAAATGTAGATCAGCTCAAATGGCGTCTCCGTTAAAGTCAATAGGACCCGAAGTCTCTGTTCTTGAGAGCAAATCGAGAAAAGCTTTTGAATCAGGTAACTGCCGGAAGGGTTCTTGATCAGATAACCCGCGATATCTAAAAGCTCGCCCAAGATAACCTCAATTTCTTCCTTTGTCCAGAAGCTTAGATTGTGTTGTAAGGTCCTGCAACCCACTGGGTCGCTTGCAAAAGCGAGTATCTTCCCTCTGATCTCGTCCACATTCAGTCTTGCCAGTTTCGGGTTCCATAGATGGATTTCAGGATTTTTCTGGATGAAATGGTTAGAAATGGGGTTTCCGGAAGATGTATTGAGGAGTTGGAGTTTGGGGTTGAGGGTACTGTGCTGGGGTTTCTTGCAGAGCAAGAAAGGGTCAAAAATCCCGCCATTTTCGAACATGGATGACTCTTCTCCGCCGCAGAAACCTGGCCACGAAAGGGCGGCGGCGGCGGCGGCGGCATTGAGATTAGGGTCAGTGCTAAGCTCGGCAGCTGTACGGGCCCAACTCCAATCCGGACCCGCATTAAAATCCTGATGGGCTCCACAATAGCCCAACAGATCACCGAAGTCTCTCTGGCCCACCATCCGCGCCGCCGATGGACCCGGAGCCTGATGCGCCGCCGAAGGCGGATGATCAAATCCCCACCCCGCCGCCATGTCAGAACCACCCCATGAAGAACCACCCGGCAAGGCTGGCAACGGCGTAGTCTCGCGGTAAACCCGGCGGCGGACCCCGTCAAATCCGTGTGAAATGCTCAGCCCAGAAATAGCCGACTCAAGCGAAAACAAATCATCTGTCGGAGATGACATCCCCGCCGGGAGTTTAGAAGGGCGTCTCAAAACCCGGAACTGCTGATGGTCCTCCATTGCCGCCGTAAATCCGCTATCCAAGAAATCAAGAATCAAGATGAAAACAAGATTTATGATTATCAGATTATGGGTTATCTTTTTCTCTCTTTTGTATCACAAGAACTAATTCTTTTTCAAAAACAGTGAAGTAGAGAGACTGGGTCAAGAAAGCCAAGGGTTTACATTACTCCAGTCAGTATAAATAAGGGGTTTATTGCTCTAAATGTCTATGGAAATTGGAAAAGCTACGGTGTAAAGAACCCCATCATAAGAAGAAAAATACGATCTTTTTTCATTTTGAAATGACAATTAAAAGGTTATTAAGTGTGTAATAATTAGCATTGAGAGAGAGAGTGATGGAGTTGGAGTGGAAGACAAAGAGGGGGAGAAGAAAGAGAGGGAGCGTGGAGTCTGCAATCCCAATCTGCATGCAATATATGGAAAGATGGACTCTTTTCCTCTGACCTGAGGGGTGGGGTGGGGGAAGGGAGGAATACCGTACGCGACGCGTCGATCGTAGGAATCGTGCGACGTACGCTCAGCTGTGGAGGAATCAGAGGGAGTTTCATCAAATTGGGCGCCTAATTTCTTTTCCCTGCGTACAAACATCATTAAATTTTGCAATTTTGGTGTCACCCCCAAACCCTTGACCATTTTTAATCCCTTAGCTCTCTCATAGCTCTATATTGTTTCACTTTTAAAACCTTCCTACTTATACGGCTATACGTATAGGGTCTTGTTGTAGCGTGGATATGGTAGTGTATATGATGTATTTTGGGACCTAATACACTGTGTATTTACTAGATAATTTGGACTTTTTCTTTTACATTTGTGCCAAATAGGTTTAATTCCAACACAAGGGCTCGAGAATGTAAAACATGATAACTCAGCTAAACTCAAATGTCAGTTCAATGTCGATTGTGAACAAGGAGCTCCCTCACTTTCGAAGACTCGTAGCGCCAGATTATGCGTCTACTGTGTCAAATTTCACTCATGTGACTAATTGAGCTATCCATATGAGCAAACTTTTTTCTTCTACATCTTTTGGAATATTGTATAAGAATTCTAACTGAGCTACCCTTAAAGGTAAATAAGTGCTATTTGTACACTCCACATTTTATACACCATATATAAACCCACAAATTTTAATATTTTTTCCAATACATAGTATCTTCCTCCCTCTCTTCTCCCAAATACGTGTAATGCGTACTCCATCACCTCTTTGTCGTCTTCAATCTTCAATATCAGCATCATCATCACCTTCCATCTTTATCATCTTTATTGTTGATCATTTTCCATACATCTTCACCACTTTCATCTTCATCATCTTTAACATCTTCCATTTTCACCAGGATGGACCCTATCCACTGCCCCGAACCAGTTAAGATAGGAACAAGCTAGTTCATGGGACCGGACCGTAACTAAAAACGTCAGCTTTGGTGTATAACTGGTGTCGAACTTGTGCCTCATCGGTGCCTATCTTGGATTTGAATAATTGCTATTTCCCTATTTTTTTGTTTTCTCCTATTGGATCTTCTAATTGATCCAATTGGGGGTGGCGACCTCCTCCAACCGCTCTTATGTTCGTTGGAGGAGGTTGTGGTGGGTGGGGGTTTGGTGAATTGGTGTTTAAAAAACTCTAGAAGTACCTCTCATTTCCGTTGCTTTTCTTATTCTCTTAATCTCTTCTAATTTTCTCCATTTTCCCTAATATTCATTATTCATGAAACTCTTTAATATCTCCCCTTCAATCTTAAGTCACTGAGTTTTCAATAAGAATGAGGCAAGTGACATGTCTGCGTTATGTCTTCATTCTTGAAAGATTTAGTGAATGGGAAAACGAGAAAACAACATATTTGGCTGCAATTGACTGGTAGAGTTGAGCAAAAAAAGGATAAACTTGATTTCAAATTCAATTTTCTTTTCTGCAGCCGATGCATTCAATTTTGTAGGAAACATATATATTTTCATCACTCTTTAGTTAAATTTGCAGGTGATAAATTGTGGTATGTTTCTTTTCATGTTTTCCAACATGAAATAATTGAAAAATGCGCTCTTCGAAATTAATAATGAAAAAATAGCAATTTTACTACTCCCTCTGTTCCTATTATATCTTCCATTTCACTTTGGCACACAATTTAAGAAAAGTGGTTATTTTGTGGTGGAGAGTTATGCAGAGTAGAGAGAAATGTATAAGAAATGTTGTGAACCACAAATTCTTTACCAAAAAGGGAAAATGGAAGTTTAATTGGAACGGATGAAAAGGGAAAGTTGGAAGATATAATAGGAACGGGGGGAGTACTTTGTATCTAATTTTCAATTTGGAAATATCATTTTAAATTTTCTGTTATTCGATTAATCGACGAGATCTTGTTATTTGATTTTAAGAAATTGGTAGAGTTTTTTTTAATGAAGAAATTGCTAGAGAGCATGTTCGGTAACATTGAGATCAGCTGATTCTGCTAAAATTATGAAGTTCTGACTGTAGTGGCCCTATTGGCTGATTCTGCTGATTTATGAAAAAAGTATATTTAAAATATAATTTATTAATTAAATAAAGATAGCTAAATGATCATCTACATTAACTTCAGTCAATACAACCAGAAAACACCTTACTTTTTCTTATTATTACAAAATTCAGTGAGGGAAATCAAAAGATATGTATTTGGTTAAAAAGTTAGCTGATAAGCTAAAAAACAGGGTCGTCGTACGGGCTCAGAGTTAAGTAAAAGAAAAAAGAAAGACTTTATTTCAAATACCACTTTGATTTTAATTTGACTTTCTTATACCACATTGATTTTAATTTGACTTTCCTGCTTACCCTCACCGATACAAGTAAACCGTATAAGTGTGCGCTTCACTACCCTCCAAAATTCGGCATATAATCCAATTTATTTGGTGACAAAAGAATTTGGCATGAAATTAGATAAATGATTTATTTGGCGACAAAGGAATTTGGCATGAAATTTGAGAAATGAGGATGAATAAATATAGATATATACAAAAAGACATTTGCACTTATAATACCATATGGAATATTTTATAGACATGAGTTGGACGGGACTGTGACAATTAATTGAATGATAAATTAACTATCTAATGAAAAACCTCACTAATAAAAAAATCATATAGAACTCGAATGGTTGAAAACGGTCGGTAATATATTCCCTCTGTCCCCGAAACAAGTTCCACATTTCTTTTTTGGCAGTCGCTAAATTAAGTTCTCACTTCCTTACACTTCCTTATTTGGCAAATTATTTACATCAAAACAATGTCAAATAGTGTCGAAACAGTATCAAAACATTAAAATTTACCCCTAGTAAATTTATTTCCTTAATATGTGGAGTATTACGTATAGAAATTCTTACACAACTACAACCACACATTTCCACTTTATTCAACTTTCTTAATCTTCGTGCCAAGTGAAAGTGAGAAGAATTTTATGATAAAAGAAAGAAGTATTACGTATGAAATTCTTCTAGGAACTCGTTTCGGAGGGAGTACATTATTTACACTATTAGCCTAGATGTCATTAATGTTTGAGAGATCTGCTTGATAGTGACCAAGACTTGATACTACTACTACTAGTCTACGGTCTACCTATGATGAGTTGATGGTCATTGTATTCGAATGGACCATTTGACTGCGTAATGTACGATGTATCTCCAGTTTAGATTAGGAAGTAACCCCCCAAAACAGACAATGTTTAGTGTAAGTGGTCATAGTTCGGTACTTCACGCGTACTTCTAAATCTGGTAAATTACTTTGTCAAAGTGACCACACGTTATTGGTCGTATAAGCCTTACGATTTGTTATAAACACGACTTGACTAAACATAACTATAAAATCATACTTTTGCTATACGTCCAATTGTTTCACTTCAAGAGTTGCCTGTCCTAAACGAGTATATGGATGTGTTAAATAATGATCATTTATTTAAGCTTGATTAGTCATTCATATTTAGCTTATCAATCAATTCTTGTCATACTCAGGCATGATTTATGAGTTCAAGTGTTGAATAGTGTAATAATCGGAATAAATGAAGTAATGATCATAAATAGGACTAAAATTAAGTTGATGTAATTAAATAGGACCTACTTCTTTTTAATCTGTAAATCGGACTCATTTAATGTGTTCAAACTTATTTACCCCGCTAATGGGGTTGTTTATTTTTCAGCGGGTGAATGCCAACACGCTGCTTTTAGTAGCAGTTTATAGTTAAAAAAAAGAACGGATTGCTCAATCCGCCATTATACAAATGGGACCAATATCACCTCTTTTTACGCCGACATCGTTTTCTCCTCCCAAAGCGCTGCAGCTACGAAAACTTATGGCACAGATTAAGGAACTTCAATCGCCAGAAATCAAGGCCGCCTAGAACTTACCTCATCGCCAGACGCCCGCCGGACTGAATGGAGGAGATAGATGAGGCATAGCAGCGCTGCAGATGTGGCACTAGAGAGAAGATCCTCCGCCGCCGCCGGCGGCACAATGTAGTACACACAACAGTGTGGCAGTCCCAGCTAAAGCCCCTGGTTATTGGTGAAGCTTCTTCCTCTTTGTGGATCTTGTTAGAAATTAAACTTGGCTTAGCCCATAACAATAATTGGGTCTATTAGAAGTTAACTTATTGGGCTAGTAGTTGTATGAGAAATAATAAATTAGCTAGCCCATAAGATAGACATAGTAAAGAAAGATCTAGAGTAGTTAATGTACCTAAGCAATTCTAGATTATTCCTAAGATACAATCCTATAGAATATTCTAGAAGGTTAAGGAAGTAGGAGTGCATAGAAAGATCCTCTGAGACCTATAAATAGAACAATCCTCACTCATTTTTAATACAAGTCAAACGTTCCAAATCAATAAAAGTTCCATGTTATCCCAAAATCATATCTTTAAAATTCTCTCTTCCACACACAATAACCCAATTTTAATACTCATAAACAACTTTCTTCCAACAAAGTGGTATCAGAGCCACCAATCCTTTCAAGAAAAATGAATGCCAATGGCTTAGTTCCATTCCAATTTCCTCGTCTCACTAAAGATAACTACATTAGTTGGTGCATTCGCATGAAAGTCTTGCTAGGATCTCAAGATGCATGTGAGATTGTTGAGAAAGGTTATGAGGAACCTCAAGATGATGGAACTTTAAATCAATCCCAAAGGGATAATCTCCAAAAGAGTAGAAGGGAGGATCAACAAGCTCTCACTCTCATATATCAATGCTTAGACGAGGCCATGTTCGAGAAGGTTGCAAATGCCACCACTTCTAAAGAAGCATGGGAGATGCTACATAATTCTTTCAAGGGAGTCGACAAGGTGAAGAAAATTCGTCTTCAAACTCTTAGAGGTGAGTTCGAACAACTTAAAATGAAATATTCGAAATCAATATCCGACTATTTCTCTAGAGTGTTGGGAATTGTAAATGAGATGAAGAGGAATGGTGAGGAACTAAAAGACATAACTTTTAACGTTGTAAAAGTTTATATTTCACATTTTACATGCTAAACATTCTTTTTATTTTAAATATAGGGTGCATTTATAATAAAATAGGTGTTTAATGTGTAAATTGTGAAATATCACTTTTACAACGCTTCATTGCATTTTTTGTTCAAGTAGTACACTTTTGCGTTTGTAAATAGTTCTAGTTTTATAAAAATGTCACCCATTTTTTCTAAAAAAAGTTCACTTTTCACTTATATTAAAGTGCAACAACTCTTTATACATGTGCTATAGATGATTATAATTGTATTTCGTACTTTCGCATGTTAAGGAAGTTTTTTATATGTAATCCTAACTCTATGTGTATATGTATATATAACCAGGTAGTCAAATCACTAAAATCATTATACTAAATGTCAAACAACATTGACCCGAATTTTATTAGAACTAATGATTATGTGTGTATTTATATACTTGCTTTTGGGGGGTTTATGGTGCTTTGTCGTGCTGTGGAATTATTTAGGCTGAGATACTGTTCCAAAAATATTTTTCTTTTATATAGAAGTAATAGATAATAGGTGGAGTTATTTAGGCGTAGAAAATGTCTTCTTGGAGTTATTTAGGCGTAGAAAATGTCTTCTTCTGAGTTCTGATTAATATATTCTTCTCACATCACAACCACAATTAGTTCATAAAAGAAATATGGGATCCACAAACATGTTTGTTTTAGCTCACTGTTCTGGGTAGTAATCTCACTGTCTTAACAAAGGGACTTTTCGAGCAGAACTTTTCAAGTGTACCAAACTCTATATGATTGTTGTAATCCATCACTATCAACAGATTTTTTTTGTTAAAGTTGAGCAAGTCCAAAAACGTGGGCTACTACTCCACAACAACAACAATATGAGAAAGAAGCAGATTCTATTCTATACCAAAGTTAAACAATCATGACTGTCCCTCGCGTGCTATCTCGCATTTCTACAAGCATGACTATACACTTCGTTGATCCAAAACTTGAGCCAATTGGCAATAGGTCCACTGCCGTGTAGGATGAGATATACGATGAAGGCGATGTAACCAGCAGTCCCGACGCATACCAGCAGACCAAACAGCAAACCATTGACTTCCACAATGAAAAAATCCAGCAACAGATACCCGTTTATCACCATCACCAAGATTGCAACCGTCCATGCGGTTTTCTACCATTCACAAAACATAATTATTATATAATACCACATATATAAATATATATCAATAAAAGAACCGAGCTTTGTGTCAATCATCACATCAAAAAGTAAAAGTTCTGTAAAAAATTTCATCAACTTGTTTAAGCAACTAATAGTCATTTCATCATTTCATTTTCATTTACCCCAGTGCCGCAAAGGCTCCCACCTACGGTGGGGTAAGGGGGGGTCGGATGTACGCAGTCTTACCTCTGTACTAAAGCACAGAGAGACTGTTTCCGGATGACCCATAGTGAAAATCGCGTCCAAAATTGCATGGACTGACTACTGCTCCATAACAAAGAAGCGCAGACAGTTTAGTGAGTCATTTTGCTTTATTCCATCATAATCTCAAGCCAAAAAATAATGAATCTTTGGCTCCATTGCAAATGATGGAAATAAGCAACTAATAGTCTAAGACTTAAATGCTATGATGGATCAAGTTTTGAGCAGATTTATGTACAACTTTCTTTTCACTTAAGTCAAGATTCTTCTACTAATACTTACCATGTATCCCCCCCACCCTCTCTATGGGCATCTCCATCATTGAGTACCAAAAGAATGGAACTCACAGGGTCGCCACATTGTTTGAAACCGAAATCCCAATTTCTCTTCCCATTCATGAAACACTATTTGATAGAAATAGGAAAGGAGTTGGGAGCATTCAACTGGGGCATATATCAGTTGCACCAAACTACAGTAAAAGATTTGGCTCCAATCTATTTAATCCAAACTCTTACTAACCCATCATTCTCTCTTTAATTATCGGACCTAACACTTTTGAAAGCCTCCAACTCACTATCAGGGGTCTCACATCATTTGTAAACCCAAACTTATTTAAATATGCAAATGTTAATATATCACTTTGGTTTTAAAAGAACTTAAGTTAGCAGGAACAGTCAACCTCAAATGCAATTTCCAATTTACCCATTGTGATATTGAGTTCCTTTTGTGTTGGTAGTATTTGTGGGACAGATGTGTTAGGTACTTCCAGACCAGTCAATTATAAATAGCATCTTAGGTCCTCCCTACAAAAGTCAAGTCTCATAGAAACTCACCTATAAAGTCTTGGTAAGTGGGGCTATTCCCGTATCTGATTATTTTTTTGGAATGAACCTCAAGACTTAAGTCTTAATAGGATGGAATATAATGACATGCTGTGGCCTCGTTTTCTTCTATATTTTCTCCTAATATGAAGAACCTCCAAATACTGTTAGTGGACTATACAAAAATCATTTTTTTAAAGTAAAAACAGAAACCAGAAACAAAAACACCTGTAAATGAAAATTACGGAAAAAGGCTCCTTTACCTCAATGAAAGGCCCAATCTTGAAGGACCCCATAACCTCTTCCTTAGAAACCAGAGTGAGAAGTGGGACGAGAGCAAAAGGAATCTGAACAGACTGCAACACATTAAGCCATTCATTTAACACATCCAGTGACGATTCTGTCCTATGAAAAACCAAAGCCACCACAACCGTGGGCAGAATGGCAAAGCTCCTGGTAATCAAAGCCCTCATCCATTTCTTCAACCGTAGATCAAGAAACCCTCCCATGATAAACTGCCCTGCGTAAGTCCCTGTCAGGGTACTACTTTGTCCTGCTGCAAGTAACCCAATCCCCCAAATATAAAGGATTGGGAACAACCCCCCACCATATTTCTCTTCAAGATAGTGCCCTGCATTGACTAGCCCTATACTACCGGCCTGTTTGCTCCCATAGAACCCCTTAGCAAAGACAGTCGTGACGAACAAGTTGATCATGAATGAGATCAAAAGGGCACCCGATGATTCAATGGTGTAATAGTTTATTGCCTCCTGGACTTGACCTTTTTTCTTGGTGTTAATCTCCCTTGACTGTACTAAAGCTGAATGTAGAAATACATTGTGAGGCATTATGACACATCCCACTACTCCTACAGCCTGGCGGATGGTTCTTGAACTAAGTCTTGGAATCAAAAGACCTGTCAAGGGAGAATCAGAAATGATTTTCAGGATGTAGGAATCAAATTATTGAAATAACATGCTCCCACCATCCCAATGAAACCGAAGCATCTTTGATACTTGTTTTTGTCTTCATAAAAGAGTCTTATTTGAACAAAAAACTAACTTTTAATCTATTCAATGTTTTTTCTAAATGCCTTAAACAATATGTAACACAACAAGTGAAATTAAAAAGTGGAATGATTACCGAAAATTTGACCAAAAATAGGTAATCTTACATAATTAACTAACAAGTTTTTATTCTTAATTAATAAGAAGTATTTATTTTGCCCTGCATAAAGAAGACCAACACATTTTTTTTTTGAAAGTAATGTGGAGTATTAAGAGAAACCTATGATGTTATAGTCATAGATCGGGCAAATTTTCTTCAAAATATAGCTAAAGTTAAAATAAAATAAAAACCTGTTAGAAGTTCCCTTCCACTAGGTCTGGCATCTCCAAACATCCAAGCAAAGGCGAACGCCATAGTCGAAATAAGAACTGCAAAAACCGCTTCAAGTTTTCTCACTCCATAGTTCTCCAGAACCAAAATTAAAAAACTGTGAAGAAAGTAATTTCCCAATTATGAAACTGTCAAGAATCTGAATTGCATTCTGAACTATAAACTCTACAAAATATTATCATCACCTTAAAGAAAGTAAATTTACAGCACCTTAAGTTCTTAACTATCCAAAAAGATCGATTGCCGATTGAACGATCAAAATTATCTCATTAAGGTGTAAAAATGTGAATTTATACAATTTCTTTAGGAGTGCTTACCAATCAGAAGCTGTAATTACAACACCAGCCCAGAGTGGAATAACCCCACGGCTGAGAATCTTAATGGCAATGGCACTTCCTATGACCTCCTGAATATCAGCACCTATCAGGGCAACCTCCGCCATGAACCAGAGCAAAAGCCCGGCCCAATACGGATACTCCTCCCTGCAGAGCTCGGCCAAGTGCCGACCTGTGGCCACACCAAGTCTGGCGGAGAGAAGCTGGATCAGCAGGCCCATTCCCGTGGCCCACATCAGCAGCCATAAGAGCGAGTACCCAGCGATCGCTCCCGACTGCAGATCCCCCTCGATATTCCCCGGATCCAGAAACGCGATGCTCATCAAGAACCCCGGTCCAGTAAACCGCCATAACTGCCGCCACGAGAAGGGAGGGACTGTACTGTGATCCACGCCGTCGGCAGCCTCCGATTCGATATCAACGGCCACCAATTTCTCCTGTGATTCGTACTCGATCCCTGCTTCAACCCTCCGCTCTTCCAGCTCCGTCAATGGGATTGATGACGGTGGAGGGGAGGGAGAAAGTAATAGGAGGTTTCGATGCTCTTCGTCTTTGGAATTCAAGGGTGTCGTCTCTTCCAATGGAGCCGAACTCATTGTATCATCGTACCAGCCAGCTGAATTTCTCCTGAAGCCTTTTCTCCTCTTTTTGAAAAGTGGGGTAACGTCAGTAGCGCACGGCGGGGGTGGCAAATCGGTGGTGTCTCTGGTCCCTGTGGCGTGTGCCGTGCCCGTGGGTCTCTGGTCCGGTGGCAATTTTATCAGCTCCAAAGAGAATTTAGAAATAGTTTTCCCACCCAATATAAAATGGCCACGTGGGACTGTGCTCCCACTTGGACAAAAAAGTATCGCTTTAAATTACCGACGCACGGGTTACCGGTTTGAGTTTTTTTAAGGTAACCGGTTTGAGTTTGTTGAGAAACCGAGAAGTGTTGTGGATTCCGTTTTTTGAGATGAAATAAAAATACTCCCTCCGTCCCATATTTAACTCCGGTTTTGACCGGGTACGGGTTTTAAGATACTGGGATTTGTGTGGTGGAGAGTTATGTAGATAATTGAGAAATGTGTAAGAATGCTTGTGAACCACATATTCTTTATCAAAAAGGGAAAAAGGAGATAAATTTGGGACAGACCGAAAAGGAAAGAATGAAGATAATTCCAGGACGAAGAGAGTATATATTAGCACCCCAAGAGTAATATTTATAAGAGAGAATTCCCCACCCGCACGGGTAGCTCAGTTGGTCGAGTGATGGGAAAATTGGACCAAGTGACCAAGGTTCGAAACCCGCAGCGGCCGTGTGGAGGTTACGGAACCTGAAATAAGGCTGGACCTCTGGTGCGCACGTGTATAAGGCTTACCGCCGCTTTGCTGACTGAGTCACCGTGATTAACCTCCCCACCATCCTGTCGGGTCGGGGTGGGGGCCTTGGGGTTGGGCATTCAACCTTTTGGACCAAATATAAGAGAGAATTCCTCAAATAGGAGCAAAACATAGGCAAAATGTAAAAATAGGAATATCATGTTTTGAATAGGGGTACCTTTAGTGTTTGGACAAGTATCTAAGCCTCAACAACTTTTAATTAAATGTTTAATTCATAAGAAATTTGAAAAAAATTCAAAAGATCGTAGAAAAATATTTAAAATTTTTATAAAATATTAATAAAATAAAAAAAAAATTAAAAATATTTTTTAAATTTTTTTATTTTTTTAAAATATTAATAAAAAATAGTAAAACTCCACAAAAAAAATAAAAAAAATATGGATGCCTTTCTCATCGCTTGTACTACCCCCCTGCACCACCACCTCCGGGCGGTGAAAAAAAAATCATTTTTCCTAAAAACTACCTTTTTCTGAAAAATGCCAAAAATATGGCATATTTCTCTTTGCGAATGCCAACATTTTCATTGTTTTCCGCCATAAATATGTCATTCATAATGAACTTGGCATTTTTTTCCTCTGGTGGCTGGAGATGGTGGTGCTGAGGCGGCAGAGGCGGCGGTGAATTTTATTTTCTTTTTTTGAGTTTTTTATTTTTTTTAAAAAAATTATATTTTTTTTATTTTTTTGAAAAATAAATAATAAATAAATACTTCGTTAGGATTAAATATCCAATAAGTCAATAAATTAACTAGGTTAGGATTAAATAAGTCATATTTTAGAATTAACTACGTTAGGGATATTAAGGGTACAAAATTAATGTTTACTCCTATTGAAGGAAGTTTTAAATTTTACTCCTATTTGTGCAATTGTGTTTATATTTACTCCCATATTGGGCAATTTCTATATTTATAAATTATAATGCGGGGTAAACACGGGGTGTAGCTCAAAGCATCTCTAATGGGGTAATGGATTGGAATAAAGTCTATCTTACGTGGCATATGAGAGAGATAGGGATAAGATGATTATTTTAATTTAATATAGAGAAAGTGATGTGTATGAAAAATGAAATGGAAGAGAGAGAGGGGGGTAAATTGTAGACAATGTCTATGACGATGTCCACAAATAGACTTTACACGGGAATCGATGAGCAAAAGTGGATGAAAAGTGGGTTAGAAGTGATATAAAAAAATGAAAATGAAATAAATATGAAGATATGTAGGTCATATATATAAAATTTGTGAGATAAAAAATGGGACCCATGTGTAAGAGTGTGTAAGAGAATAGACATCCCCATTGGAGATGCTCTCACTTAGTAAAAAGAATGTTACAAAAGAGAGATCTCGAGTTCAATTCCAAGTAAAGATTTGGTATGGAGTCCTACTCTCTTTCCATTAGTGTGAGATCAAAACTCAATTTACATCATACCAAATAAAGCTCGAGTCTAGTTTATCAACATCAAATTTTAGCTTAAAATTCAATCGGGAAGACAATCAAATAAGTTTTTGAAGATAAGTGTGTTTTATATGTATATTTTGGTGTGGATAAACTAGAATTGATGAAGAACATGCAAAACACATTTAAGCAAAAAATACCATCAGGAAATGCCATAAATGGCAGCGGCCGGACGGTGCTCCGGTCAGGCATCTTAGATTTTATTTGAAACAAAGATGATAAATTATACCATGTAGAAGCAATGATCAATATTTTAATTATAATTTTTTATTTATTTTTTATTATTTATAATCGATGTGTTAATTTAATCATTTGATAACATGATAGATAGACGAACATTGGCTAAACTGCTAAACACAAAATAAAATAAAGGGATGTGTTTAAACTAGATTAAAAAATAAATGCGGTTAAAATTTTAAAACTAGTGCAACTTGTATATATTCAAATCTTATTAATTACAAGTTCAAACGTATGTATTTGCGCTAAATAAACCTTTATAAAGTTTTGTTTACAATATACTTAAAAAGTAATAAATGATGTGCCTATGGAGTTTACAAACAATGTTTCATTTTTTTGGATGAAATGTAAGTATATATTAAAAAAAATCCAAAATTAACAAAATACATGTGTAACACTGTTTCATTTGAGTAGATGTAACTGTTCGAATACTAGTTAAGCGCCAAATAATATTGTAACACCAATAGGTGGTGTAGCCTCTGTTTTTAATTGAACTATAATTTGCTGGTTAGGTCTGGTCTGGTCTGTTTAAGTCTGATTTGGTTTGGTCTGCTTAAGTCTAGTCTGGTCTGGCAAACGTTTGATCTCTGTGTATTTTATAGCTATGGAAGTCAAGTTTGATATGGTCTCGTATGTTTATGTCTAGTCAGATATGATTTGTTTTGTTTATGTCTGATCTGATCTGGTCTATTCTGATTTGTTTTAGTTTGGTCTGGTCTGATCTGATCTGGAATTGAAAACAATCCAAGTAAAAATATTCTAACTAATAAATAATTTGGAGGTTAGTCGATCAATCAGAGTCTGATTAGTAAAAAGTGTTTGAATGAAATAGAATCAAGGGCGTACATAGCGAGGTGTGACGAGTCATGTAACCTATTCAAAACCTTGGAATATTTTTTTGGAATTAGAGCTTGAATGTTGTTGTTTTATGAATGATGAAGGATCTTTTTATTTAAGGAATTGATGTAAACAAGAGTGAAAACGATCATAAATTTCATAATGGATTGTCATATTTTTATTTCGGAAATCAGGGGCGGGCAGATTATACCAACTTAAATTAACACCAAGAAAATTAGGGAAAAAGTATAGGCCATACATAGATCGCTCTAAATATACTACAAAGTACGTAGTAGTCCTAGTACTCCGTACAACGTATTATTGTTAGTAAATACTCTCATCGTCCCTAAAAGGATTGCCAAGTTTGACCGGCACGTAGAATAATAAAGTAAAAACTGTGTGGTAGAGATTTGTGCAGAGGAGAGAGAAATAACAGGAACCACAAATTGATTGACTAAAAAGAAAAGTGACAAAGTTTTTGGGACAACCAAAAAAGGAAAGTTAGTAAAGTTATAAGGGACGGAGGGAAGTAGTAGATTATGGACTTATGGTTACGGAGTACTTGACAAAGTACTTCTAAAAATTCAAATATTCCACAAATGTGAAAATTGCGGTGTAAAGCATCATTATATAAGTTATATAGGTTATATACGGAGTATTAAACTCACATAAAAAGATATACTCCCTCCAAAAATATGTGATTCACATTCATTCACATTTTTCTTACACAACTACAACCATACATTTCCACTTTATTCTCACTATCTAAATTTGCGAGTCAAGTCAAAACTGGAAGAAATGACCGGGACGGAGGGAGTATATCAGACCAAATTAGACTAGTTCAGATCAAATCAAACTGGACCATACAAGTCTCGAACCAGGTCAGATAATTATAATCAAATTTAAAACATTGATATTATTCAAGACTAGTCTAAACTCTTAGGATGTTTGTAATTAGGCTCCCTTCAATCCCATATCAAACCAATCTATACTAGATTAGATTTAAAAAACTAGATCGTCAGTTCAAATTAGACAAAACTTAGACAATTATAAAATACACATAGATACGCATCAAACTAGTTTAGACCAAACTTATCTAAATCAAATCAAGTCAGATCAGAAAATTACAATTCAATATAAAACATCCTTAAAAGTTACTCCCTTCGTCCATAAAATTCTTCCAAATTTCCTTTTTAAGCTATCCAAAAAAATTATTTCCACCTACCATTTTGGAAAAAATTGTATGACTCATGATCATTTACATTTTTCTTACACAACTACAATCATAAACTTTCATTTTATTTCCACTTCCTTAATTTGCGAGCCAAATCAATATGAGAAGAATTTTTTGGGATAATGCACCACTTAGGCTTACCTGCGGGCGATCTCCCTCCAGCCTTTTAAGTACTAACAGCGGTCGCCGCTTCTTGAACGGCGGCCTAATACCGCCAAAACCCCCCATGCATCATGCATGAGTAACTAGAGCTCTCTCTTTCAACAATCGACCCTCAATTTATTACTCCCTCCGTTCCCAAAAACACTTCTCACTTTCCTTTTTGGGTTGTTCCCAAAAATACTTCCCACTTTCCCATTTTGGACAATTTGTATGGTTCACATTCATTTTATCTTTTTCTTACACAACTACAACCATACATTTCCAATTTATTCCACTTTCTTAATAAGCGTGCCAAGTTAAACCGGGAAGATTTTTTAGGAACGGAAGGAGTATTTAATATTCCGTAGGTTATAAATTATTATTATGCAATTGGATCAACAGATCATGCATGGCATTGTCATTCATCGTCATCTTCTTTATCTTTACTTCTTCAACCTTCAAAGTCCAAGCTCTCTTTAACAACACCGTCTCATATATTAATTGCGGAGTCATAAGGACCTACGTCACTCACTTCATCCTAACCTCTTGGTAAAAATGTGTGCTTATCATTAGTGAATAGTGGTGGAGTCACGAAAACATTTGTCATCCCAAGTTAGGAGAACAAATGCCTCCAGATGCGGACTTTGAAATCTCCGACCATTGATGTTTTGATGAGACGGTCCCCAAAATATGGGCATCGTGGCTTGCTCTAAAGCAAGACAGAGGCTACAAATCCAACATTAATCACCCGACATACGAAACAAGGGATCAGATCCAGGTATCGGGGATACCTTGAGCTGAAAAGTAGTTAACTAATACTTCCTTCGTTCCATAAAAGTTGCAATATTGAAATTTTTGCACTATTCACACACCTTACTTTGACTACGATTTTATAATAATATATATAATAAAAATATTATGTATAAAATATTAATAAATTTGATTTAGTGTAAATTTCCAATATATTAAGTTTTTGTAATGTTAACTAATACGTAAATAAATATAATTACAGTCAAAGTTGCGGGTTGGCAAACATGAAAGTCAAACTGTTGCAACTTTTATGGAACGGAAGATAGTACTTGGCTTAAACACTAGTAGAATGTGCTAAATATGAAAATTGAAAAGTTTTACACTACTTTTTTTCAAAGTAAATCTAAATTGCCCTAGAATGTGATCATGATCGATAGTGAGATCGGTATGAAATTTACTTCAATTTTTTTTAAGTAAATCTAAGTTGCCCTAGAATGTGATCATGATCGATAGTGAGATCGGTAAGAAATTTACTTCAAATTTACTTGTTTCGTGCCAATTTCAGACTGGTTGGTTAATACCCGAATAAAAAAGTATTTAGACTTATTTTAGAGTGAAGTGTAAAGTCAAATAATTTTATAATGAAAATGATGCATATGTTAATGATTTTGAAAATGATGTACATATAGTACAATGCAAAATCAAATATCACCCAAAAATAGTGTGCATAGTCCGCCTTTCAAGAGATTAGTATCAAATCAATTCATTAATTAACTAAACGATAACTTAATTTATACTAACCTCATCAATATTCAAGGTTTAATACTAAATAATCGATCATGTGTTCATAAGAGGTCTAAGCTTTGAAATACCACTCCGTCCCAAAATAACTTCTAACATTGAATTAACACACTTATTAATAAAATAATAAAAAGAAAATGTGTGTTTTAGTTAATGTAGAAATTAAAAATAATGATGAATATTAACTATGCCAGTTATTTCAAGAGAAACCTAAAGAGGACAGAAAATAAGGGGGATACTTTACACACACAAAAATGAGAAGGAAATTATGAGGTATAGTGGTACATGGAATAATATTTCTACATGACTAGCTTGCTCAACTTCCTAACTAAAAAATCAAAAATAATTTTTTACTATTAATTATATGATACTTGTATTACTTTTTATGTATTAAGAATTGAGTAATACATCTACAAAAATATTGCATTGAATTTAAAATGGTTACATTTTTGTAATTTGATTTAAATTTTTCTGTGTGTATCTTATTTTGCACATAAATTGATTAAATTTGTTCAAGTAATTTCAATGAATAATTAAGTAATATACTTATCATAATTCATATGATCACTCTGGTAATAAAAACATTGTTAGGGTAATCTAAAAACTTCATTGAGGCAAATGATTTTCTCATAATAAATTTAGAAATTTTGTTGGGGGCACTTGCTCCCACCATTACATATGTATATCCGCCCCTGTGACCGGTCCTGACGAATATATCGGCCCATTGAGGCCCATGAAACTCATAACCTAAAATGCATATTAAATCGATCGTTCAAGGGAGAATACTTATTTAAGAAATTATATTAAATGGGACTAAAACATGGTTAAAACTCCAAAATAGGACTTCAAGTTTTAAATTGCCTAAATGGGACTAAAGATTACATTTTTACCCCTCATTAACCTAACTCTCCCCTTCTGCAATCGATCGCCAATTTCATCTTCCTCTAAGCAATTCATCTTCCGCGATTCTTTACTCCACCATGGCCGCACTCCGCCATCGATCGTAGCCTCACAACACCATAGCTCCGCCGTCGACGACCTCTGCTGCAATAGCAAGGACAGGTATGTACTCTTCTTCTTCTTCTTCCTCCTCCTCCTCCTCCTCTTCTTCTTCTTCTTCTTCTTCTTCTTCATAATCCTAGTTCTCTGCTTTCTTTTTTTTTAGTTTTTTATCAATCAAATTTTAAATAAAATTTTGAATTTTGAAAGTTCCAAATGAAGATATATCTGAACTTGAATTTCTTGTTATCAATTTTGATTAATTTGAATCTCAAAATGCCCTGACTAATGATTCCAGAAAATGCCACTTTTGAATAGTAGAATGTAATTATTATTGGGTATTTTTAAAAATGTCACTTTTATGTCATTACGGTATTTGAAAATGTCATATTGAGAATGTCATTTCTCTATACGAAATTGTCATTATTGTGTCATTATGCATATTAGGTGGCATTCTCGCATATGAAGTGTCATTCCTCATGGAGGTCTGCACTGACCCATTGGAGGGCAGATCTTTGTTGGAGAGTGATGGCAGCATACGGTGGCGATGGTGGCAGACTTCATGGATGGTGGCAGAAGCGCCAATGGTGGAGGCGTCAACTCCAAACATGCGCATACGGCACACCTGCTCAACAAGGGGGAGGGGAAACCTGCGCAGCAAGGGGAAGGGGAAACCTGCGCAGCAGAGATCTGGTGTGCGTAATTTTTTCATTAGGGGTATTTTCGTCAGTTTAGCTCTTTTTAGTCTTATTTTTGTCCAATAAAACATAGTAGTCCTGTTTTTGCAATTATACATTCTTTTAGTCTTATTTAGGAAAATCTCTCTACTTATTTCTCACATTAAATACATCTTGTATGCAACGGGACGTTACATATAAACATAGGTATAAGTTGGGAAGGAAGCGGTCCAGCTCAGTTGGTCGTCGACTCACTCACTCTTATGGGAGGTCCCGTGTTTAATTCTCAATGGAGTGAGATTGATCTCAATTTATCCTAAACTCCCCAAACCCCCTCCCCCAATGCCCGTGGGGTAAAAAAAAGAAGAAAAACGAAAAACATGGGTATAGTTGGGTCGGTCATGTCGTGTCAGGGCCCACCTCAAATTTGGAAAAGCAATTTATTTTAGAATTTGAATAATACTTAGCTAATATAAGACCAAAATATGGATACCGAACAAAATGCACCTTAGTAACTTTCAGTGGCCGCATATGTTTAGACTTTAGAGGTGTACACAAATCGGTTCAAACTGGAAAACGGGGCTGGACCGGACCGTAGAAACCGGAATCTGATCTGAAAAGGAATGTTATCCAGATCGGTTTCGGTTATGAAAAATTACAATTTCATTTATGGTCCGATTCTGGTTAAAAACCGAATTATTCCGTTTTGAAACGGATTAAACTATTTCCATTGTATTTTAAAATATAAATACAGAAAATAGCTATAAAACAATAAAAAAAAAAATTCACAAATATTACTCATGAAAAAGTGATGAACAAAAATATGACTTGGTGACTTTTAGTGTTTATATCTGTGTTCAAAGTTATTATGATATAAACTTTGAACACAATTATAGTCACTCACATTGACCCAGTCACATTTTTTCCCATGACTTTTTTATTAGTAATATTTTAGGGAAAAACTCATTAATAAAAAATAATAATCACAATCTAAATCAAACTGATTATAATAATATGTATATATTATTCTAATGTTATATTCATCCATTTTTTCTTATTGTCTTGATAATAAAAAATAATTAACATTCATTATTCTACACTCAAATCTTCTCTCTTTAAAACTAATAAAAATAAGTAAGTAGATAAATATAGTAAAAATATTAACACTATTAATATTAAACAGAAACCAGTTCCGTTGCTATTCTATTTTTTATAATACCGGTTCCTGCCAATTCTAGTCTAGTTCGATTTTGAACCGATGCACACCCCTGTATATGTTCACATGGATCACTTAGAATTTTGCAATTAATCATTTTAAATATATAAGTAAAAGATAAAATAACAGTTTGAGGGTAACGAAGAATCACCATATATTGAAGCTTCAAGCATATATACTCAACATTCATATTATTATATTGTAAAAGAACACACACAAAAGCAGTTAACTTTTTTCACGTATTTGTTGAGTCTAGTTATTTATTTATTTATTTATTCGATATATATATCAATTCGGCGGGCCTAGAAATTATCATTGATAAAAAAAAATGACGACACCCCATCCCTGAGGGCCCCCAACCCCGATCGGACGGTACGTTGGGAGAATGTAAGTTGGAATATAATCCCAATCTGACAGATAGAGAGTCAGACTCTGTCCCCGGTACTTGCAGAGGCCCTATGCATTTTTTAGCATAGTAACCTCTAATCTCAGTTGTCGCGATTCGAACCGGGACCTAACCCTTGTGGCACTCCCTTCCTACCAGTTGAGCTACGTCCACCCGTATCATTGATAATTTCTATATTTAGCATCTATCCACTTGGGAGAGAAGCTGTATGTGCGTAGAGAAGGGAAGAAAGTGAGAGAAGGAAGGAAGAAGAAATATATAGAAAGGGTTTGTATGTATAATTAAAGATGGGGAGAGTGAAGCTGGAGATAAAGAAAATCGAGAACACAACGAATCGGCAAGTCACCTTCTCCAAGCGCCGAAACGGTCTCATCAAGAAAGCTTATGAGCTTTCTGTTCTCTGCGAAGTTGATGTCGCCCTCATCTTGTTCTCCCCTTCCGGTAGACTCACTGCCTTTTCCGGAAATAATAAAAGGTACTTTATTTTTATTTATTTCCTAATAATCCATTTCTTCAATAATAATAATAATAATAATAATTTATTCATCAAGTGCTAGCTTTAAGTTTTATTTTTCCTTCTTTTCCGCTTGTTTTCGGTGGATCGGATTTGATGGTGTCAGCATGGAAGACATTATGATGCGATATGTAAATCTTCCTCAGCAGGAGAGAGGGCGGTAATAATCATAATAATTAATAATACCAATTATTGTAAATTGTAATCAATTTCAGAACCATTTTGTATATCATTATTCATTTAACATCTTTATTAATTGTTAACTTGGATATATATATATATTGGGATGGACGGGATTCAATTCCTGTGGCCGGCATGGGATATGGAAATGAAGCCTACAAAACCAAGAGGTACATTTTCCGGGTCTTTTAATTAATCCAAATAATTAGTTACCTAATTATGAAGTTAATTAATAAATTTCAATTCATTAGTAATAAACACAATAAATTATTGTGCGCGCAGTTTCTGCAAAGGGTTATTACCAAGTTAAAATATGAATCATCAGATCTGATTTCTCAACAGGCCAGGTAATTAATTAGCAACGTACACTTCAATTTTCTAATCTTCACATAAAGGTTGAATTAGGGATGAACCCTAAATGCATCAATTAATTAGCATCATAGCTATTTTTTTTACAATAGAATCATATATAACTACTTATTAAAACACACATTTATATCAATTAACCTGGAATTGAAGTTGGCGACTTTGTTTTTGTCCAAACAGCCCCTTGAGCATTATTGCAGATTCTCAGCTGGAGGTAATTTCAGTTAATATGTCTACTTATTTTACTTCGTTAACAAATACTTCGTAATTAATAATAATTCTATATAATATAGACCTATATATGTTTATATATGTAAAATTATCAAATTGTATATAATTGAGTTGAGGCATGCAGGAACTTCAACAACAACTTGCACAATGCAAGTCCCGGCTAGAAGAAGTGGAGCAGCGACTGAGGTTATTTTACTTTTAGTTCAATATAAATAATTTATTCAAATTAAACATAACAATGTACGTGTAATTACAAGAAATTGCTCAAAATGAGAATAAAATATACTTCCTCCGTTCTTGCCGAGACACAACTTTGACCATTAATATAAATGATTTTGTATTAGTAAAAAAATTAAGAAAATTAGATTATGAAAATTTACAATGAGACAAGTTTAACAATATTTTTCTCATATTACAATGATTTTGCATTTATTTAAGAACGAAGGTAGTACATAAAAAGGATTGTTATATATATTCTCTTTTAGGAGTAAACGGTAGTGACCCCTCCGTCCCAATTTATAACTGCGCAGTTAGGTAGCAAAGTATATTTCAGAAAATCATTTGACTACCTTCTCGATTGAATTTTTAGCTGAATTTTGGTATGGGTAAACTAGACTTAATGAAGAAGATGCTTAAAAAAATTCATCAAACAATTCCACTGGAAACCGCCCCAAATGGTGACAGTCGGACAAAAACTCCTGTAAAAGGCTTATTTTCACTTTTTATGAAAGTTCAAGGGCTTATTTGATAGTTGTCCCTTGTTCTTTTGGTAAATGTCAAATTCTTGAACCGAAACGAGTTTCAACCTTGTTACTTCCTCATTGACATGTAAAAACTTATTAATCATTTTTAAAAAAACCTAAGAGAGTATGAATCTCGCCCCTTATAATTGTTTTTAACCATTGGTCCCTTAATACTAAATTTTTTATTCCATCACGAAAACTGAGTTATATTTTACTCTTCTTTACCAATTTTTCTCTGTTAATTGTCACTAACCATTATAGACAAATTAAACACGATATATTATAGAGTGTATGAATGCGATCCAAGAGAGATTACAACGTTGTGCGAGGCGCAGTACAGGGAGAGGATATTCGAGAACAACCTCAACCAAATCCGACAACGCAAAGTACGTAATTAATTATATTCCTCGTACAATATTTAATTTTCATTTGGGAGGGCCTGACATTAATGTTTGAGTTAAGTTTGGATACTGACATTATTGTAATGTAATTATTATGTTAATTAATTAATGGACGAATTGAAACAGCGATTTTTGGAAGAGAATGGGAGGAGGGATGATGATCAATTTGGATTTGATAATTGGGTTCATCCCGGAGTTGCTGATAATAGAGATGATTCACAATCCCAAATCTTCAACTTTCTTGATTCCAATGCCCTTCTTCCTCTCAGGTAAGTAATCCATAAAACATAGTTATATATAGCTTTTAGATAAGACTCCATATCATAATATTTTTTAAATAAGTGCATGTTTGGCAGACATAACTCGCTCTCTTCTATCTTTTGTACTGTTTAAAAAGTCTCTAAAAACTTTTAATTGTATGTTTGACATTACAATTTATAAGAGCTTTTCAAAAGTTAAAAGATATTTTTTGATATGCTACAGGGAGTAGCATCTGAGAAAAGTCCATGACTTTTAGTATAAATTAGTCCTTACAGTTTATTGTATACCAAACAGAACTAAATTAAATAGTAAGCTTTTACCAAACAGCTACCACATTTTCTTTTTAAGATCTTTTCAGTCACTAAAAGCTAATAGTTACTAAAAAGCTCACAAAAGTATCTTTTCAGCTAGTTGTGCCGAACATACCCTAAGATTAAACATTACCTTTATATTTCTAATTAATTGAATTGGTTTTAGAGGCCGTTTGGTGAGCCTGTTTTTTGGCTTATCAGGCTTATTAGCCAACTGTTTCACCAAACACGTAACTTTTGATTTCGGGCGCTAAATTGTGTAATAATAAAAAAAATAAGACTGGGGTTACTTTTCTGACTTTATTGGCTGAAGTAACTGTAGAAGATCATTTTAGCTATTTTTAATATAGTTTTTTCTTTATTTTATTAATAAAATAAATTTTATATATTTTTTCATAAATCAGCAGAATCAGCCAATACGACCACTTCAGCCAGAACTTCATAAATATCAACAGAAACAACCAATTCAGCCGATTTCAGTGTTATCGAACAGGCTCTTAGTCTCGGACCAGATTATATAGCAAATAAAATTTGGTCAGACAAAACATATACGACCACATCATAGCATACTTCGTCAGTTGTAAGATACACATAAAACAGACATCTACTATTTAAAAAGACTTCCTTCCAGAAAGGTGTTTTTGTCAAATTACAAGTTATGACTCTTATTTAAAGAATTGTAAATATATATTGAATGCTATTTTTACACCTCAAATATATTTACTTCTTAGCTAGTGTATGAATTATCTCAAGTAAGAATTATATAGAAATATACGACCTCTTTCAATTCATGCCTAGTTACTATTTTCGAGTGGTGCAATCATGAATGAATACATATTGGTCAAAGTGATCATTTAGTTATTTTTTGTATACAAGTATAATTCAAGTAATATTCATTAATACCCTAGATGCTACTTCATTTTTCACAAATCTTTCTGTTTTTAAAACAAAGGAATTGGGCAAAAATAAAATAAAAAACAAAAGAGATTGCATTACGTAACGTTAGGTAGTGATGATGATTTTAATTTGTACGTATTGATGAGTATATGTAAACGGTGTCGTATGTAGAGATGAAAGCGGTGGAAGCGCCGAGGACATAGCGGTGCCTATCCTTCACATGCAAAACGCACACAGTCAGCACGAGATGAGCTCAAGCGGAAGCATTCCGGAGGGTGGTGGGCCATGGGCCACATCGGACAATTACGCCCGGCCCCAATCACGTTAGTTTTCCACATCATCCTTCTTTTTCTCCTCGATCATGCTTGTCTACACGCTAATTGTGCACGATATTTTACACGTCATAAAAGTATTGAAAAAAAATCAATGCGAACAACGATTTTTTTCAGAAAACTGCAAAAAAGATGTTTATGCACAGATAATTTGATCAGCGTGAAAAATGTTGTGTACATTTTGTTGTGTACAAACATCATTTCTCTTTTCCTTTTTCCCCTAATTACCGTTTAAAAAGAAATGGACCCGGTTAGGAGTGAAATAGTAGAAGAAAACAAAGATAATCCTGTTTGTATATTTTGTATGTATTTTTCATCTGTTGAAGAAATTCTCTATGTTAACTTGTTAAGTACACAAAGAATAAATGCACTTCGATAAGTTTTTAATGAAAACAAGGATGACTGTTTAAGGAAAGGCACATAATAGAAGAAAAATATGAATAAGATTCAAAAATAGGATTACATGTCTTTTTAATGTCAAAGTAAAACTTATTTAATTTAGTCCTATTTATTGAATATAAATAAAAATTTATCAAAATAGGCGTAAATTGGTCTTACTTTCTAGCTATATATAGCAAGAATAACAAGTGCATATTGACGGCACTAAAGTCATTGTGTGTCTCAAAATAAATTCAATACTTGCACTAATACATAGTATAGTGTAGTAGATTTCGTATCGGGAAATGAATACTTTTTTTTATGAAACTAGTAAATAAAAGGGGGGTTTAGGATTGTGTGATTTAATTTAATTAAACACTAAGATGAACGACTTATATGTGTTTTAATTCAAAGATATAAAAAACTTGGTTTTGCTACTTTCCACTTGTTGATATGTTTGTTGATCTTGGTTATATATATAACTTATCCCCTCTCGAATATTCAATTGAGGAGTATCTCCAATTCATCTAGGGTAATTATTAATAACGATCACTCATTAATAACCCTTACGATTAGTCAAGTATATAATACCAGCATATATCGACTTGATAGTAGCTTTTAATCTCTTAACTCCTTGATTAAATCAATTGAGATTGATAACCTCAATACAACGGTTTCGGTTTAACTAACATAATTAATCCCTCTTAAGATTATTAACCACGACCGTGCATTAATAACCCGAAGTTACTTATTTGTGAAACCATCAATGATTAATCATCGGTTCATTGATCGTTTCTAGTAGTAATTAATGTCAAGATGTTAACTAATTTTCGTCTTAGCAACACCCCCCAACATTAATATAGAGATAGAATAAGGGAAGAATTAATATTCAAGGTAAGAAGTAAGAAAATAATTCACAACTTTAACATTCAACAAGCTTCACGAGCAAAACCAAGAAATGGAAGTTTAGTTCCTCATTTGGAGACTCAACAATGCTAGAAAAATATAAAGAAAATACTATTCTAAGTTGAGCTTAAGTATATGGATAAAAGTGAAGGAAAAGTGTGTTATTTATAGATGTTTTCTGCATCTTTGGCCGGATACCCGACCAGGTATAGATACATACCACAATATCAATTTTAACTTGTTCATTGTCGGATATTACATGAAATAGAGGTAAACATTAGTGGTAGTATCTTTATTAGTGAAAAGGATATCCCCAATATCAATTTTAATGTCTCTCTTTGTATATGTTATTTAGCAGGTGCAAACGTTTGCTTACCGTCGACATATCACAGAGAGCGTGCGATGCTTGAGGCATTCATTTCTCAGCTCACCACCCCAACGCTTTCTCAAGATCTTATCTGATTGCGTCATTATATTTTCGAGCTCGCAAATATAAATATATATATGCATAGGGTACATTATCTTCTTTAGTGGAGTACTTATAAATATACCTATCATCTATCCACAAGGACCATAAGCATAGTTTCGATCTATCATATATGTACGTATATTAGTTCAATTTTAATGGATTCCTCTGTTCTATAAAAGTTGCAACATTAGAATTTCTACACTATTCACACATCTTATTTTGACTACGATTTTCTAATAATATACTCCGTATATAATAAAAATATTATGTATAAAATATTAATAAATTTGTATTAATGTAAATTTTCAATATATTAATTTTTTTTTAATGTTTACTGATACATAAATAAATATAATTACAAAATATAATTGATGAAAGTCAAACGATAGTATAATTAAACTATATATATCTAGATTTGCTAAAAAGCTAGCTTACCTAGCTAGGTAAACGTGACTTTCCTTGTCTAGTCAAAGTCACACCATTTTGAAGAGCGTAAAGTTTTACTTCGTAATTTCTAGCTAGTTAGCTTGTTCTTTAATGCTTAATAAAATAAAGAAAAAATTATATGAATAAATAGCTAAAATACTCCTTTAGAGTAACTTCATCTAATACAGCAAAAAAAAGTAACTTAAACCTTACTTTTTCTTATTATTACACAATTCGGCGCGCAAAATCAAAAGTTATGTGTTTGGTGAAAAAGTTGGCTGATAAATCGAAAAACAGGATCATCAAACAGGCTCAAAATATGTTTTGGAATAAGATGGAATAAATAAATATTACAATATGGTTTATGCAGCCTATACATTTTGAAACACTTGCTTGTTTGGTAGTAGAGTAAATTTGTTCATCATCTTTACTGCAAATCAATCTTTCCCAATTCTTAAAATTTGTTTCTCTCTATACTACAATGTAAAGTTGATCATGCGCACACACTTACTTTTTTAATAAGAGCTCGACATGCGATAAAAGATGATCTTGACTCTTATTAATAGTCATCATATAAAAGGTCATTAAATGAAATTGTCATCTTTTATATTTGACCAATATTCTTGAATCTCATAAAGTTAAGCTCAACTTTGGGACAACTACTTAATGCCCAACATATTTCTTACCTAAAAAATTTGCTTCAAGGTTGTGATTTCCAAGGCATGTGTGTTTATCTTCAAGGTTGTGATTTAAAGTGTTACTAAAAGTCATTTTTGTTATAGTGCAACCCTGAAATCATCATTAGTCACACAACAACACAAACCGACCTCTCACAAACATGCAAGGCCAAGAAAACACCCCCTCAATCATCACAAGTCCATATAACATTAAATACAGAACGAGTAAGGGTTCAGAAGGTTATTGTCCTTAAAGAGCTTGTTTGTTGCAGTCTTCTTCCCCACCACCGTCGTCGCTCTCTTCTCCTTCTTCTGGTGCCAGCCTCGAGTTCACTTCTTCTCCATCCTCTGAATCCTTTCCCGTCCAAACCATCGTAAGTATCTGACATGAGGTTAGATCTGTATTTCTAACGCACACGTCAGTTCAGATCAGTTTTAGATGATGTTGAGTAACCAAAACAAACTATGCATAATTTAAACAGAAGTTCATCGTAGTTTTCAAGCTTCATGTGAAGCTTCAGCTTTTGAGGCTCCATGATCAGTAGGCTTTGTCGGTTTGGGAAGGTGGACCGGCTTAGGGTTTTTAGGGTGTGACGGTTTCCGATACATTTCTGATGGACGTTAGTAGTAGGGACTGTGATAATGGATGCAAGTAGAACAACGAGTGACGGTGGAGGTGAGGAGAACCATGGGTGACAATGGGGGTGAGGAGAAGGAGGTTGCAAGCGGGTGGGGCAATCGAAGACACGGAGACAGAGAAGAGAGAGGGAAGGTTCGAGAGAAAGAGAGAGAGAATGGAGTTGGTGGGGGGCTGAATGGCGTTGAGGTGGAGTAAGGGTGGACCGCGAAGGGGTAAATGGGATAGGGTTAAAGTTGAGATTTTATATTAAAAAGTTACCTAAAATGAAAGTGTGAAGATTAATTTGGACCTGCCCAAATGGAAAATGTGAAGTTTATTTGGGACCGAATGGAGTATGTGTTAAATATTTATATTCGAAAAACGAATATATGAAGATACTCACTAAGTCATATTTTTGTCCATTCCTTTTATTGTAGTCATATTTTTGTCATTATTTCATAATTTTAAACTTTATTCAAAAGACTAAGCCCAATTCAACTTGCTAATACATGTTTGAGCCCATTAAAAAGGTTTTTTATTGGACAAGTTTTAGTCCCAAACCAAACATAATCAAACTCTATAATACTTAAACAAACTAAATCAAAAAAGACTTGGATAATTGTAAGAACACATAGATCATACATTTACTAAATCAGAGTAGTTCATATCAAATCAAGGTATACAATACTTTATATCAAACCAGATCAGAGAATATTAGATAACCTACTCAATTATAGATACTTGTTAGCATATCTTGTTTGTATTTATGTTTTTGGGTGAGGAAGTGTACTCTTGTCTTGGTGTGGGACAAAATAGCGTAAAAAAGAAAACTGAAAGTTTAAATAAGATAGAATTCCCTAAATAGGAGTAAAAAGTTTTGAAATTCCAAAATAGGACTATCTTATTTTTTATTCCTTGAATAGGAGTAAATTTCTGCCAAGATTGGCATTACTAGACTTTAAACATGACATTTTTTTTCAAACTTGGCAGATTACTCCTATTCAAGGAATAAAAAAAACATGATACTCCTATTTTAGAATTTCAAAATGTTTTTGCTTCTATTTAGAGCAATTTCTATTTAAATAAATAGGTCACACCCCGCCTTGGAATCGACCAACTTTGCAACGCGCCAAGTACATTCATATCTTAACAAATGTCATTAACTATGTGATGGATAGTGTACCCGAGGGGTAGCTTATCCGAGGGGTTATTGCGGAGAATAACTAGAGAGAAGTCAGAGCAAATAAGTAAGAGAGAGAGTGTGTATTCGATATGTATTAAGCGTGGTTTACAATGGGGGAAAGGGGTGCTATTTATAGTAGTAATAAATGCTAGATAAGGACACGTGTCAGTTTTCTGGTGGTCGAGGGGTCACCTCGACCGGGGTGGCACTGGCACTCGCATGTGGCCGCATTAAATGCGGTGGTTGGATGTGACGTTTGTACTTGGTACGGTGATCCAGGCGCATGTGAAGAGGATATTCTGTCGAGGTGGATGCCTTCGGCTGAAGGGTGCTGGGCCGAAGGCTCTTCTAACCGAGGGCTCCTACCTGCCGAGGGCTGCAGGTGCCGAAGGCTTGGTTTTCAAGCCTTGTTCTCCTGTGATGCCTCTTCTAACCGAGGGCTCCTACCTGCCGAGGGCTACAGGTGCCGAAGGCTTGGTTTTCAAGCCTTGTTCTCCTGTGATGTTTCTGAGCTCGATTCCGTCACTGGTAGCCTTCGCCCATAGGGCCGAAGGCACCCCTTTGCGTATTGTGGGCTGCTCAGAGCTCCATTTTGCTGGGCTTGGCCCGTTTGGGCCTGTTGGGCCTGATTGTAGTAGAGAAAGTATGTGGGCCGGGGGTCCCTGGGCCATATACTCCATCAGGAGTCCCCCACTCCTTTTGCCGAAAGGTACTTGAGGGAAAAGGAGTAGCTGTGGTGATTTCCCCGAAGGCTTCCCTGTCCTGTTGGGTGCCTCATTTTCTCAATTCCCCCATATGTCGAGGGCTGAGAGCTTCCTGAAGGGAGTGTAAGTGTGTTGCTCGTATGTGTTTCTTTGTTGTAGTTTGTAAAGTAATGAGAGATCTGCATTTGTGTGCTTTGCCGAGGGCATTTGTTGACTGAAGGCTTTGTGTGGCTGAAGGCATCATGTGGCCGGAGGCATCATGTGGCCGAAGGCATCATGTGGCCGAAGGCATTGTGTGGCCGAAGGCATCATGTGGCTGAAGGCATTGTGTGGCCGGAGGCATTCTGTAAGCCGAAAGCATCATGTCGAGGGGAGTAGATTGCCATTGTGATCTTGCCTCAGCCTGCTGTAGCTGAGAAATAGAAATTTTTTAACATTTGCGTGTTTTGCCGAGGGGAGTCCCCCAGTCCCCCACTCCTTTTGCCGAGAGTTTCTCGAGGGAAACAGGAGTAGAGTTATGCATGCCTTCAGCAGGAGCCGCCGAGGGGTGACGCCTTTTGCTCCACAATGGGGAGATGCCTCGTTAAAAACCTCATTAGGAAAAAACCCTGTGGGAAAAAAATCCTAATGAGGGAAAAAGAGTACACCGGATGCCCTCAGAATGAAGCAAAAGGAGTGCACCCTTCGGCCTTGATTGTTGAGCGGCGGTTGTGTCCATCTGCTGAGGGGATATCCAAGATCAGCCTTAGATCCTGCATGAAAAAGCTAAGGAGCTTGTAAGGACCCCCCCCCCCCCCCCCCCCGTTATCAAATAAAGGTGACGGAGGGGTGCAAGGCCAGGTGGGCTTGTGTTAGAGCCCCTGGCATCAAATACAGATGCTAGAGGGATGGAGACCGAGGGGTCTTCATGATGGCCCCCGACATCAAATAAAGATGTCGGAGGGATGAAGGCCGAGGGGCCTGTATGATAGCTCTCGACATCAAATAAAGATGGCGGAGGGCTGAAGGTCGATGGCCTGTGTGATGGCCCTCGACATCAAATAAAGGTGTCGGAGGGATGAAGGCCGATGGGCCTGTATGATAGCCTCTGGCATCAAATAAAGATGCCGGAGGGATGAAGGCCGAGGGACCTGTGTGATTGCCCCCAACATCAAATAAAGTTGCCGGGGGGATGAAGGCCGATGGGCCTGTATGATAGCCCCTGACATCAAATAAAGATGTCGGAGGGATGAAGGCCGAGGGACTTGTGTGATTGCCCCCGACATCAAATAAAAATGTCGGAGGGATGAAGGCCGATGGGCCTGTATGATAGCCCCCGACATCAAATAAAGATGTCGGAGGGATGAAGGCCGAGGGCCGTTGTGATGTGGAATCACGCTGAGGCCGAGGGCCGTTGGTGATGTGAGATCACGCTAAGGCCAAGATCATTATGACATAGAGTCATGTTGAGGCCGAGGGCCGTCTGATGTTGAGGCCGAGGGCCATTGTGATGTCCTCACGCTGAGGCCGAGGGCCGTTGTTGATGTTGAGGCCGAGGGCCGTTCTGATGCTGAGGTCGAGGGACGTTGTTGATGTTGAGGCCGAGGGCC